GAGGATGGCCCATCCTCTCAAAATCAGACGTCTGGCAACATTTCGGTTGTACAGTCATTGCTTTAGACTCGTCCGCTTTTTGACACGCATACTGGGTCAAACATAGCCGAAGTTTTAAAGTCTTCACAGTGATTTACATACTTTGCACAGCAACATGGATACCTCCTAATGGTGTTGAAAGAGTCACATACTGTATTTATAAGGTACAATTCACCCTAAAATATCATTCTGTCTTCATATAATGATGTATTGGCGGCCGCAAAATCACACATGACGTGAGCTGACCGTGAGCTGTTACTACAGAGGGCGGACTATGATAGATGCGCGTGTTCGCATCTGCTTCAGTTAACAGAACCTGCAGGTTGTGACTAACAGGTAATAAAGTAGTAAACAACCTTCAGTTTGTGGAACAGAGTGATCGTTCAGGAGCCGCGTCTGAAGTATGAACAGCAGTGGAAATGAAACCGAAAGCGTGCACATTATTTAAATAATCATATCGCATTTTAGAGTTATGATTACGACGAGCATGAACTCTTTTGAGTACAGAGGTACACAAAAATGCACGTCAACATGATATACTTGATAGCGCCGACATCAGAGACGCCGAAGAAATAGTAAACCTGCCTAAACTGCTGAAAAGAGCCACGATTGTCCTGTGTAATGAAAAGACGGCCACCCTGTCACTCATCATGCCCAACATGAAGACAGCCATCCATAAAAACCTCTCAGACAGACACACATCAGTTCAGGATTATTTTATAGAACTGCTGATTACCTGGAAATGTAGATTGCACACACAAAAAACGCAAGTGACCAAGCAAAGCCTTAAGCTCTTACTGTTAAATTCAATTGAATTGAATAATTTCAATAATATTTTATAAGAAGTTTTTAAATTGTTTTATTTTCCAGAGACAGGCCTGTTTAATTTATTTTCTTAAAGAAGGTTCAGTTTAACAAGTTGAAGTTTACTTGGTAATTAAATAATAATAAAAAATAAATAAATTAGCATTTCAGTTTAATTTTCAATTTTTATTCCAAATATCGTAATACATATCGAATCGTGAACATTATATCGTGATACACATTTTATCGTGAGCTGAGTGTATCGTTACACTCCTAATTATTAATGTTGGTGTTTTCAGCTTGGCACAAATCCTTAGGCGAACATGTGCCCACTATGTACCATTCTCCGTAGTCTAAAACCAGTGAGTTTAATCTGTGCTAAAGCCTCACAGTGGGATTCTGTTCATCTTTACAGTGTGTCTATGTGTGCAGTCTCCTGGTGCACATAGGATCCTAGTGCTTGTCCAATCAGATTCTCCTTTGACTGAATTGAGTGTTGTCTGGATATTGAGTGTTGTGTTTCCTGCTGTGCATTGCTGAGTGGGATCTGAAGATGTTATTAGGTGGTGCTTCTTCATCTGGGTTGGAAAACAGTGTGAGCTACGGTGGCATTAATATAATTTCTAACTGAATGGAATAAGAATTGATTTTAATACTCACAAACACTTCACAAACAAACAGCTGCAGGATTTCTCTCTATGTTTTAGTACAGTTGTTGATTACAAAGGAAGTAAATTCTGTGATGGACGTCTGATCCAGGATGGAGTAACACATATGTCATAGCCCTTCTTTGTCTGTTGTTTCTGTGCTGTCTTTATTTAAAGCAGGGGTGTCCTAACTCGGTCCTGGAGAGTTTATTTACATCTTGCTTCAACACACCTGCCAGGAGGTTTCTAGTATATCTAGTAAGAGCTTGATTAGCTGGTTCAGGTGTGTTTGATTAGGATTGGAGCTAAACCATCACTGGACACCAGCCCTCCAGGACCGGACACCCCTGATTTAACGTGTCTATAGGTGCATGCTTTTTAAACTTAAAAAAAAAAAAAAAAAAAAAAAAAAAAAAAAAATATATATATATATATATATATATATATATATATATATATATATATATATATATATATATATATATATATATATATATATATATATATATATATATATATATATATATATATATATATATATATATATATATATATATATATATATATATATATATATATATATATATATATATATATATATATATATATATATATATATATATATATATATATATATATATATATATATATATATATATATATATATATATATATATATATATATATATATATATATATATATATATATATATATATATATATATATATATATATATATATATATATATATATATATATATATATATATATATATATATATATATATATATATATATATATATATATATATATATATATATATATATATATATATATATATATATATATATATATATATATATATATATATATATATATATATATATATATATATATATATATATATATATATATATATATATATATATATATATATATATATATATATATATATATATATATATATATATATATATATATATATATATATATATATATAT